TTTATGTCTGTTCAGACATTCAAGGGTGCAAATTTGAGGATAAATGCCTTGATGCTATAGACGACTACACTTGAGTTACTGTAAACTGTGGATCTCAAAATTATTTACTGCTGGGATGCATATACAGACCACCATCTCAGTGCATACTCGTCATGAGTTTTTTGAGTGACCATAGAGTTGTACTGAGTATTATTCACTCTCTAAACGCCATACGATTGAACTCTAAAGCTTCAATGATGTACCAGAGCAGACAATTTGATCAACAAACCTGGAAACGGACTGAAACTCTCATTTAATGTTTACCACGGGAAAGTTATTTTACCACGAATATGTCGACATTGCGCTTTCCAATCTATTCTACAACCTGATATATTGCCTTGACTGCAGTGCTCCAGTTATTGGCCGTGTGGCTTATAATGCTAATAGGGGCCAAAATACTTTTAAAAAAATCTGAGGAAATTAAAATGCCGCTACTACGAGCAGAATGATGTGTATGCACTTCAGAGTATACTTAAATTAATCGACAGAAATGCTTCATCTAAAGGTAAGTATTTTATGAATATAGGAAATAAAGCCCTACGCAGTAAAAGCCCAGAATTATCAATACTTCGGCTTTTTAAATCCCGTGTAAAGTCGAATTCCCTTGACACGACTAAATTCTTCATAGTTAACGGAAGCATTGTTAACGACCCGAATACTATATGCGAACAGTTCAGCAAGCCTTCTCGCAATGCTACAAAACTGAAACTGACAGCTTTATCATTACATTTCCAATACTGACATCTAGACATCTATCGAAAATTGATTTTATACCCTTCAACATCAGGCAGGCCATAGCTGCCCTGAAGACGTCTTATGATGGTGGACCTGACGGATACCTTCATCATTTGCGAAATATGGGAGTAGAGAATTTCCACTGTTTTGTTTGAAACTTTTCAGTCTATCTATGGAGTATGGGACTTATCCATCTGTATAGAAAACATCCCTTATCACCCCTAGATTCAAAACAGGATCACGTAGTGATATTATTAACTATAGGCCAATTAATTTGACATCCGTGCTCTCAAGAATCATGGGAAAAATCATTCACAAACAGCTATTTTCATTTTTACTTTTGGCTAGCCTAATCAGCACATCCCAACACGGGTTTATGACTAAACGCTCATGTTTCACATCGCATCTGGAGTTTTTTGATCGAATTACCCAAAGAAGAGATGTTGGTCAGTCAGTGATAATTCCGTACTTCGATTTTGGTAAGGCTTTCGACAGTGTCTCACACAAACTTCTTCTTTTAAAACTCTTCATTTGGCACACAGAATCCTCTATTATCTTGGCTCAAATCTTTTTTAGAAGAACGTAGCCAAATCGTTCGCTTTGGATCTTGCTACTCTAAACCTGTGAATGTAACCAGTGGGGTTATACGTGAAAGTGTGGTTGGTCAATTACTCTTTCTCCTTTTTATCAATGAAAAGTGTTCGCTCTTTCAGTATGGTAAACCTTTCCTTTTTGCCGATGACCTGAAAGTAGTTTATTCATTCTCTTCTCCTACGAAAGAAAGCTATATTTCAGCGGTAATCCAAGAGGAAATAAACAAGTTGTACGAATGGACTGTTTCGTGGAATATGCCACTTAATGTTGACAAAAGTGGATTTATTCACATTGGTCGCTGCCTTAACTTAAATCTGACTGTACACACACATACACTCAAACCTCTCAACACTGTTCGTGACCTGGGTTTAAGATATAGCAACAGTCTGAACTTTTCTGAGCACATTATATCTCAAGTATCCAAAGCTAGAAAGCTCATCGGATTGATAATGATAAACTTTAATAATATCGAATCGAGATTGTTATTATACAGAAAATGTATCTTACCCATTCTTGAATATGGTATTTTAGTTTACAGTAATACTGACCTGACTAAAATTGAAGGTGTTCAAAGAAAGTTCACCAAAGCTGTTCTGGGGTATTCTGATAACAAAGACCATCACCAAAGATGTCAACAACTCAACTTAGAACCTCTTTGGATCAGACGTACCAAATTAAATCTTGTCTTTATCTACCGGCTTATTAACGGTATTTCCTACTCTTCGGTATCCACCCCTTCATACCTTATGATATCATCCCACAATCTACGCAATAAGGAGAATATTCTAGCGATTCCATGAACCCACACAAACTAACGCCAGAATTTTTTTCTTATTCGCTACTCAACTATGTGGAACAGACTGCCAGTGAACCTCCGTTGCAGCGAAACTACAACCCGGTTCAGAAGTCTCCTTAATGATTTTCTTTCCGAAAGTGGATTATGTTACCTATTGAATATCAATGTATTCAATAATGATTTATACAAACAAGGTCCGTCATCCATCTAATTGCCTGAAAAGCAATATTAAGCCTTTAAAACTTTTCATGTCTATTTTATTTTATTTCTATTCATCTTAATATATAAAGTCTGCTTATGTTCGTATTTATCATTATTACCATTATTAATATCATTATTGGTCCCCCGATACATTGGATATTCTTTTTATCTCTTCTTATCCTTCTAAACATATTTAATTCCGGATTGTCCTATGAAATCAATTGTGACTTTCATAGCATCGTTCTTAATTATTATTGTACAAATATTTTTACTGATATCCGGTTTCACTTTGTATACTATTACATAAATCTAAATGTATTTATCCGAGTGCACCAAAGGAATTTTATTTTTTTCTCAATTGTTGGTTTACTTCTAAGGTCGATATTCATCACACAATTATTATTTTTATCTTAGAGGAACATTTTCACTGGGTTCAGTATTGAGACCTCTTTTTTTCCTAGTTTATATAGATGACCTTACCTAGCAAGTAATGTCTGATTACTTTTATTTTCGCTGACGTTGTGCAACTTTGGAGATAAGTTTGCGACCAAGATGATAAGCTGGGAGTTTACGAGGATCTGACTCGTCTTTAAAGTTGAGTGAATAACGACAGACTCATTTTTAACATTTCGACGTGTAAACTTGTCCATCTGAGACATGCTTCAGACTACGCATACAAGTTGGCTAACTTTTATCCAGAGGTTTCCTAAGTTGCAAAACAACCAGGTGTCATTACCCAATGATCTTATGTCTTACGTCAACTGAGACGAAATTCCTTTTTGGAGCAAACCTTGCACTGATAGCGTTGAGGTGCATTTTAAGCTGGTTCGAAAATAGAGCTTCCTCTCTTATCTTCACCGGTTTTGTTTGACTTTACCTAGGGTATGGAAATGTAGCGTTTGTTCCCTAACCCTAAAAGGACATGAATACAGTAGGACGTATCCAAAGGCGAGTCAAGAAATCAGTTCGAGGACCCAATTTCAAACCTCATGAACAACTACACAAGTCACTGGATCCTTACTCTTTAGGGTATAGACATCCCAGAACTGGCCTTTCAATGACTTAGAGTATCCTAAACACTCCCAGTCATCCAACGAAACACGTGCTTAAGCTCACTCTCAGCGCAAACCGTAGGGGTATTACCCAGAAATTAGTGTTACAAAATAGCAGAATGGACAATAGGCACACCTTTTACTCTTTGCGAGTAGTAATAATGGTCCAGGCGACTTTTCATGAGTCCTTCAGGAGAAAACGTGACACTATAGCTTCAGCATAATCTAATAATATTTCTCTTTTACCGTTAAATCTATCTATCTTCCCACCTTTAAGCCTTGATAATCCACTGCTGTTAGATATGAAGCCTGTCAAGCGAAAGCTTTTTCCATTCCTCTCCGAACCACTTGTACCATTTTTTGTCATATGTAACAGTGAAGTCGTTTATCTGTACAATCAAATTTGTCATCCTCTCAGAGATTAACAAACAGTGTAAAAGCAGTTTGACACAAGACAACTAAATTGAATTTAAGTTCAATAATTTCACCAAGATCAGTTCATACTGCAATTGAGGATCTGGGATTATTCGAAAATGTGAAGTCGGCAACTTGTTGTAGAAACAGTCACATGCCGTCGCTCTTAGACTGGGTATTTATTTCCAATTGACAGCCTAATAATCCTGGAAAGAAGCGATCACGCTGTTGTAGCCCTTAGTTTTATTAGCAAAACTGAGCTAAGACATTCCACCAACAACAGGCGCTGGAATTTCAAACGGTTGAATGTGTCCGTTGTACAGAATCGGGAAAATGACCCGCAACCAAGAGGACAAACTGGCACTTCAGGAGGACTTGACTCAACTTCAAAGTTGGGAAGACGACAACAGACTTACCTTTAACACTTGAAAGTGTAAAGTAGTCCATCTGAGACATGTTTCAGACTACAGCCACAACTTAGGTAACTCCCCTCTAGAAGTATCTAAAGTTGAAGAAGATTTAGGAGTGCTGGTCTTACGCTGTGACAAAAATGCTTTTAGAGCAAACCTTGTACTGGTGACACTGAAGAGCATTTTTGGTCAGTTTGACGAAAGAACTTTCGATATAATGTTCAACAGTTTTATTCGTCCCGATTTGGAGTACGGAAACATAATATTCCCCCCTCATTCCAAAAGTATAAGGGCACTCTGGGACGTATCCAACAGCCAGCCACGAAATTAGTCCGGGGACTCAAAATCAAGCCTTATGAACAGTCCCTCCAACCACTAGACCTTTATCCATTAGCGTATGGGCATCTTAGAGGTGACCTCCTAATGGTTTGCAGTATCCTTAACACTTCTGGACACCCCCTTAAACACCTAATTAGGTTTAGCTCAAACACACAACTAAGGGGTGACACCCAGAAACTGGAGATACAACACAGCAGAACGGACCATGGACACAACTTCTACTCCTTAAGGGCTGTCAAATGCTGAAATTCTCTGCTGTCTGAGCTAGTTCAAGTAACCTCCCAAGAGTCCTTTAAGAGAAGATTTGACCTATTCTTATGTACTAAGGATAATATCACACTATGATTTACCAATTTCTATCGATAATATACCCGGGTTCCTGTTCGGAAGTATTGGTGATCCACTGCTACTAGACGTGGAAGCCTGTTAAGCGAAAGCTTCTTGTATTCCGTTCACAACCATTTGAACCTTTTTAAATGGCACCCACCTAGTTTACCTTTTGGCCTTGGGTTTAGCGCGCAAAATGACACTATTTCAGAGTTCGGAGAAACCTAATGACCCCCTTGATTCTTCACAAGATCGTGGGAAAGAGTTCAGGTACAGTAATGCTTTACGATACAAATAATATATTCCAATTTTCACTACAGAACTGAATCTCTATTATGTCGTCTGAAGTATCAGAATAATTTGCCAGAGCTCCCTTTCGATCCTAAATTCTTAGTATATCCTCTCGAACCTTCCAGGTTAAATTGCTTTTGATCTTTATATATTAGTATTAGATTCCTTCAATATGTTGCTACCTCTCTGGAAAGGAACTATAAGCATGAATTACTCACAGAAACAGATGTGGGAGTTGAGGTTGACTTAATTGATCCTGATGTTTTCCGAATTGACAAAAGAGGTATATTTTAGTTAAACTTTTAAGTGATACGAAATAGCAACTCTTCATCCGGATGATGAGCGACTCTTGGAAGATGAGGCTCCTACTTTTGTCAATGCACGTAAATCTAGACATCAAAAGTCAGTGTCCTGGCTAAGGAAAACAGAATATATATCTACTGAGCTTTACAATCGTTGGAACAAATCTGAAAAGGTGGAGTCTAGGTGAGTGTTTATTTGTCATTATTTTCAAAGACTTGGGTACAATGTTAAACGCCATCTCAATGAAGAGATCGTGTATCGTGATCGCGAAAGCCAGATCAACGCCATTGAAGAAACGTTCAAAGCAGCTGAAAAACCTATTCATAAGCACTACAGTAAGCCAAACGTGCACGCTTTGGAGGTACTTCCAGTGTTACCGGACTTCACATTATGGAGATATCCATGTGCACAGGTCAGTTGCATTGATTTTTCAAATGGGTTTTATGTATGAAAATAACAAACTCTAAACCCTATTCTACAACTAGTGCTTAACATCATAGCTTGTTTTCAAGTGTAAGTGGTGTGACAATAACCTAACTGCTAGTTAAGTGAGGAATTAAAGATATAGTCCTAGGACCTTGTAGACCCTGATCTTGTTAATTACATCACGCTACCTTAAATGAAGGCTTGACAAGCTCCAAACTAGCCAGCTAAATTCTCTAGTAATATTAGTTTTGTTCCAGCAGTAACCAGTTTGTAGTAGCAATGTGAGCTTTTAACATGGTTGATCGTTTATTGTCACTAAGTTGTTTTGTTTTAGGCCAGCCTATTTTTGTAAAACCTATACCTTACTTGTTTTCTTCTGTTACTAATCAGCCTTCATACAGCATTTGCCGGCTTATGGATGTAAAGTAACAAAAGATTGTTTTTAAAAACATATGTAGATGGTTCTTACGAGACTCAAGCCTTTTCTTTTCAGAAATAGATCCTATTTTGTTTGTCACCAAATGTGTCAAACTGTGGCTTATTAATTAGGACATCCACTATCCAGTTTCTACGTACGTACTCTGGTTTATCCAACTGGGTAGCTTCATTAGAATTCATACTCATACCCAAGTACTTGATGAATGACTTAAGTATTTTTTATTTACTTATCTTTATTTCTTCAGGTGTTTGAAAGTAACTGAATTGGTTGTTAGAGAGTTTTAAAATGCAATAAGTTGTAGGGTTCATCACGCTGCCTAAGTATCGTTTTGTTTCTGCTCATCGGACAAAGGTTGTCACTTAAAAGTTTACTTTAAGTACTTCAAGTTTTTTTACGCTGTCACATAAACATGTAACTGTGTTCTACTTCAAATATAAAATTTATTCTTTAGCTGAACTAGGAGTAGTTGGCTAGCTTAGTGCTCAACCTTTCTTATTTCTCTAATAATTGTGCCGCAAAAGATGTGCAGTTTGTGTAAATAGACTACATTATATATCTTGTAACAATATGTCCTTGTTTCTTTTCATTACATGACTGGGTACTTAAAATGTGTGTCGATATAGTATTAATAGTGTCTTTGTAGCTTTGCTTACCAAGTTAGATCAATTTTATTAAAATATTTTTTTTGCTCTTCCAATAACTTGGTAGTCTAAAACATGTATGAAAACATTTTTAGTTTTATACAACAAACACAATGAATTTTTAGTAATCCTCATTGATTGCAACTTTGGTCAACAATCGTTTATTATTCATTCCTCGGGAATTTCTTTAGAAATATTGGGACCTTACGTAATACAAGTTTCTTGGCGAAACTTGTTTTAAACTCTTGTACCCAAATTTTAACCCAATATATGTGTTTAGCAGACCAACGTAAAAGTTTATGGGAACCGTTTCCATGATAAATTTAACAGTTAATCTTTCTGGTAACAAAAGCGCTCGATTATGCCCAAACTTTCTCATAGCCTAGGACATCAGACAGAATAAAGCAAGTTTTTTAAAATAATTATTTTTCTCTACCTTATGATACCGGTCTATACGAATTGCCTCAACAGCGACTCCATATATCTTGTTTAATCTTTCCAGGTTATTTTCGATGATGACCCCTCTCGTAAAAATAAAACTACCACTGAACAAAAGGAGGAGGTGAATCAAGCGATGATTCGGTTAGTTTCTCATTCCCTTATTTTCATGTTGTGGCTGATTTTTTAACTGCTGCTTCATTATCGACACGCTAAGGAGAAATTGTTAGAATGGCTTTTAATTTCTGTCCCAATATGTTCCAGATTCTTGGTTGCGATCCATAAGGTAATCATGGACAATGGTTAGAAACTAGTATTTCTCTCCCTTTAAATCTTGAGTTTGCTATTATCCCATTCGTTTCATTCTTCAATCTCATCCCTTTTTTGAGATATTTCTTATGTTTAGATGTTCGGCGTAATTGGTATTATTTTTTCTCTCTTGCTTCTCAATAACTACCTTTCTGGTTTTACTGATATAAGGTGTGACATTTTGGACGGATACCCATTGTTGCTAGATCCAAAATTGACGATGGACGACTGAAAATGAAATCGATTAGAGATTAAGTATTGCTTGTTTTGAAGAAAATAATTAGCTAACATTATAAGCATGAGATATTTTAGTAAAAATGTCTTTATTTACATACATTTATAGTACGGTAGTTTTTATTTAGTCAAAATCTAGTCTGTCTTACAATATTTTGTTATCCCTAATCTGCTTACTATGATTGACCCATTTAATAAATTTGTTAGTGTGTTGTGGTTGAGGTTATGGGTGATTTGTTTGGAATTTATACTTATTTATAATTCACAAAATAAATCTGTTATAAGCTTGACTCATAATCTACTTGATCATCCCAAAATTATCTTTTGTTAATTATAGTGGTATGGTAGATGAATCTGGCGACCATTTCGTTGCTTACTTCCTACCAACTGAACAGACTAAACAATTACGTCGTTTGGATGCTGAAAATCGAATACCATATACTGAAGATGCTGCCTATGAATATGAACTTACACGAGAGTACAATTGGAATGTCAAAAATAAAACTATGGCCAATTATGAAGAAAATTATTTTTTTTGTTTTCGTAAAGATGGTATGACCTCATATGTAATTTGTCAACTGTATTTTTTCCTTATTATTGTCTAAATAAGATTTTGTTTCTTACCTTGGGTATGTTGAAGCCTACTGCTGCGCTGACTGTTTTCACTTGCACTTGTTAATGTGTATGTGGTAGAGGAGCTAGGTGATCTGTGAAGTCCTAATCGTCTAGTTGGATCCAAGTTGTCTATTGTATTCAGTGCTTTCCCTGAGATGCAGAAGTTAACATAACCCAGTCGACCACTGAAAAAGGCCAGAACAAGCAACCTTGTCAGACACCGGCCCTCACTTGGAATGCATCTGTGAGCTGTCGTCCATGCACAACTTTCCAGTGTAGTCCATCGTGTGAATTCCATATGATAACGATCTTCGCAGAGACACCATAATGTGCATATCTCTGCCCTTGTTCGGCTGTTGTTAATTACTTTCCTCTTTTTCTTCCATTCTTGAATCCTGTCCACGGTTTTTATAGCGATTCACTCCGTATGATGTACTTCTTGTGGCCCAGCACTTCCTGACACGTTGAAATTAGTGCTACTTTGATCCCTTTCCAGTTGTCTTCCATAGTAGTTTCATCCTTCAGTAGATGCTGTAAGGTTTGCAACCTGTTGTTTAGAGTTATCTTGAATTTGTTGAGCTTGTTGGTATCTCGTTGGAAGGCTGTATTGAACCTTTGTAATACTGTTTTCCCAGCTTTTCAGTGTTTCTTTAGCTTCCGTTTCATCTTGGCAACCACCAGCTAGTGGTGATCTGAAGCTATGTCAGCTCTGCTCTTGGCTCTCACGTCTTTCACTGACCTTCTAAATATTTTATTAATGCAAATATGGTCGATCTGATTCTCTGTGGTTGTGATCCGGTGAGACCCATATGACCTGTATGTGAGTTTACGACGGAATGTGGTGCCACGTATAACCAACCATGTAGTTGAAAGCACATAAATTTGCAAATCTCTTACCAGCTTGATTCCTTTCTCTCATTCGAAATCGTCCCGTGATATCTTTCTATCTGTTGCTGTCTATTCAGACCTTGAAGTTTAGGTCTCCTATCAGGATGGTCAGGTCGTCCGTTGGTCTCTTCTCTATAGTCGATTGCAGCCTCTCATAAAACTGGTCTTTATTGTCTTCATTGGTGGGTGCATAACAATGGATAACATTCATTGTGACCCCCCCCCTGTGTTTTGAAGGATGCTTTGATGATCATGAATCCATGAGATTCCTACTCTATAAGTGCTTTTCGTGCTTTTTTGGACAGCGTCAGAGCAACTGTCTGCTTGTGTGTGTGTGTGGAGCATTATTTTCTTCATGACCAGAGTTCAACAACATCTCTCCCAGATCTATCCTTTTCTGTTCAGTTTCGGTCAAATGTGTTTCACTTATTATGGGCACCACCAAGTTGTATCTCCTCATTTCCGTAGCTATTTGATTGATCCTCCTTGTCTCACATTGTCTGAACATCCGATGTACCGATATTAATTGTTACTCTGGTTGTTAGAAGTGGCATCAGCCTCATGACTCCAAAGAATCTCGGTCTTCAGAGTGAGGTGCCATAATTCTTCTGAATGAATGTCCTTCTACTCACAGGACAGAATTTAGATTGTTTATTCTAGTTAGTGCTTTTTAGAAATATTGTTTTGTATGGAATGGGGTTTCTGACCTCATACCCAACCCTCCTCCTTTACTTAGCCTTGCGATCGGCAGTAACCCTAGAACAGCTCTGTGCGTGGTTGTGTAGATGATTCTGGTCACAATCACTTATCGTCCCAATATATAAGAGAGGGTTAAAATCATCCTGTGACAACTATGGAGGGATAGGTTTGACTAATATAGAATCTGAAATACTAGTCTTATTAATTATCCGGCCACTATCTAAGACTCGTGAGCTTCAAACACGAGAAAATCAGGCTGGCTTGAGAACTGCTGGTGGCTGCATTGACCACATACTCACCATTCGTCAGGTTCCAGAACATAGGCATACTTATCGGCGTCCGACAATGGTGGTCTTTCTTGACTTAAAAGCAGCATTTGACTCGGTATGGTTAAACCGAGGATTCGTTTTCTTTTTTCTATGTCGTCGCTAACAAATTGACAAAAGTTCGAATTGCTCTCCCTATTGAAGGGCGACTTTCGGTTATCCAACCTTCTGGGAATCTTTAAAGAGCTTTTATTGAACATGGCCATTAAGAGTAGAAGACACTCGTAAGCTACTAGTATTTGACCACAGATGCCTTAGAAATATTGCTGGCGTCTGCTGGGATCACCGGGTAAGTAATAGTAGGTTAGACGCAGGGTATTAGGGAATGATGGTAAATCAGTTGATGAGGTTGTGAATCTTCATCGACTGAGATGGTTGGGCCACGTGTTACGTATGCCCGAACACCGATTACCACGACGTGTAATGCTAACCGGTGTTGGGGATGGTTGGAAGAAAGTTAGGGGCGGCAAAACCAAGACGTGGCATCAGTGCTTGAAGTCAATAACTTCTGGTCTGAGCCATGTTGGTAGATGGATACGACTTGGTTGTGGTCCGCGTGACTATCGTAACCAATGGTTGGAGACTCTGTTGGACAAGGATCAGAATCAATCACAATGGCGTCGGTGTATACACTCTCTGTCTTCCCTTAAACTAAGAGATTAAAATCGCTTCATACAAATTTCTTTCTACAAACTAATTCTTTCTTCCTATACTATATCCTTATTGTAATCTTTCTTTTATATATTACCACCTCTGAATTAACTACTTGTATGAATCCGGTGTCCATCTTGTTGTGTTAGTGAGGTATGGCAACTTGGACCGATGCATAAATGTGCCTGGTCCTACGTTGTAGCTGACTGACTGACTGTGTGGATGATTGCACATCCAAACATCGTGGTTGGATTCGGATATTTCGGTCTTTAGGTATCCTCCTGTCTTGTAAAACAGTATTCTCTTAAATTTACATAGAATTTGTTAAATCTAGTTTAAACTTTTCACTCGGTACTTAATTCATTCCTGTATTGTTAGGCAAACTGTGTTCATAAATTCTATCGTATTTAGAAAGTGACTTAGACTCACAGAATGTTGTGAATTACTTTGTTTGGAGGGGTTAGTGTCAAGGTATACCATAAATACAACTCAGTAGCTAAGTACAATTTTGTATGTTTTTTTGCATCACGAATTTTATACGAAAGCTAATGATGTGACCGACATGTTAAAAATTTAGTAGATAGACTATGATATAATTATTTGTCAACTAACCCACCGCTTTGAAAAACATACTACTTAAATATCACTTATTTATTTTTGTTCGGGTAACTGTATCGTCATTGAATCTATTAGGTTCTAGGAGGACATGTATACTGATATTCGTTTTCTTGATTTCTTTACAGGAGTTTACTATAACGAATTAGAGACCAGAGTCCGTCTTAGTAAACGGCGTAAATTAAACCAGTCTGGTACTAATGTTGGCGCTCTACAAGCCCCCAAAACTCGTTTGATTGTTCATCATCGAGATTTCACGGATGAGGAATTGAAGGCTCAAACTGACCGTTTATATATGCTGGAACATGATGTTGAAGGTGACGAAGAAGATGATGAAGGAAATGCAGATGGTGATGAGAATGTTGCTGATGAAGAATCAATAAACAATGAAAAAGAAACCAATCATAAAACTAGTTATAACGGTAATTTAGGGTTTTACTAGTATATCATATATACTCGCAAATTTCCAGTATTATAAACTGAACTATATATTGTTATTCGACAAATTCCTGTAAAAATTATTAACCACTGTCAGACTTGAGTGAAGTTTCACTTTCCTCTCAATCACCAAAATACTATATACCTATGAATTAAAAAGCAGTTTACCTTAATGGTGATTTGTGCATCAATATTTGTATACAGTTCTATTAAATGAAGCGGAGTCCTCAATTCTATTTTACTTGTCACATCATTTTGACCACACTAATGTTTGCCGTGATCACCGATGAATTATATTACTGCAGCTCACTGAGGCAAACTAGCGTCGGCTTTAAAGCTGACTGAAAAAGTACTTAAAGATGCCCAAACCCATTTATTTAACGGATATTGATCTTATCAGCAAAAAGATTGTATGTTTCATCATTCAGATCGTGAATATCCCGTTAATCAGTGGTTGGAGACGATAGATGATATAACTCGAAATCGCTTCTTATTTTAGAAGGTCCGGACTATTTATTATCATATTTCTTTGTTTTTTATATATTAATCTATCAGTCATTTTTTATATGTATTATTTTTTTGAGTCGACTTATTACTCAGTTGTAAATTGCGTTAACTTGAACTCTTCAATCTTGTCAGAAATTCCATGTGTTCTTCGTTTTTCTGGTAATTTTGTGATTCTTCAAACGATTGTGTCTTTATATCCAATCAGTTTGCTAGTTCCTTTGCTATAGTTTTATATATTCTTTCTTAAGTAGTTTAATCCTTTACACCGTTCAGTGCATTGTTCGCAACATACCAATTGATAAAATTGTTACTACCAACGACAACTAGTTTGAGACCATGCAGTTTAGTTCATTAAGCTACTAATCTAATGTTTATTATACTATCCTTACAAAAATGGTTGAGGGTAAAGTACATGTTTATTTCACTAGTATATTACTCACAATTACTTTTTTAAGATTAATGAATCCGTAGTTGTTATAAACTATTGTAGTTTTGTTTGTTTGTTACTTTGATAGACACCAAACCTTTAAAAATTCAACACTAATCAATTACTTATTTACTTTCCTAACCAAAAGCAATTTAAAAATAGATCCAAGTGATAGAAATTTGACTTTATTATTATTCTAAAAAGCTATCAATGTGGAAATAAAGTATGTAGACAAACTGGTTTTACGGATTATTTATCCATCCATATAACTACAAAACATCCTTGTATTATATGCAGTCCCAATGCGTGGTATAAACTTTGACTGCAGTTCCCTACTTTAACTTCTAATCATGATTTTTGACGCTATTTTGAGCCTAACAGTCAGTTTTAAAATCTCTGAAGGTCATTAGGGTAATTTAGTTCCATCACTCATCTGACCGGCGTCTTTGGACTGAATGTGTTTAGGCTCTGTATATAACATATGCAACATAAAAACTCGGACATTCAATTATCTGTTAAATAATTCATCAGTTTTCGAAGATGATGTACGTACGATAAGATGACTGCTTTACTTACCTGTAAGCTAATCGAGTAAGTGGAGCTAAATAAGACTAAGATTTGATAAATCATAAACTGTGTTCACAAAATGGGGATCAGCTTTTAATAAAGTTTTACTAGAATTATAAAGTCAAATATGTCGGTATCATGATTTCTTCGGAAAAGTTGTAAAGGTTAAGCGATGTTATGAATATTTCCTTCAAATGAACCTTGATAACTGCTCATACCAACTATTATATCAATTCAGCATACTCAAAAGTGACCGACCTTGCAATAGGAATGATAAATAATATACCTATGACGATGAATTCACATTTCGACATCTGTTTTGTTTGTTGAAATTGCGTAAACTTGTGAAATACAGTCATCCAGTTTTGCAGCCAATTAAAAAAAACATAAGGCTACGTGGATTGTAGTTAGTGTTTGTGAAATATATATCCAGTTAGAATAGAGACATTCTAGTTTTTGCATCTGAATACGAGTGCAATAGGAAATATTTTCCCATCTTCTTTATCTATTGCCTAATAAAAGCCAGATGAATTATCTTTTCTATAAGCCAGTGAACCTGGTAAATTTCTCAAGTTACTATCTTCTTGGTACAAATTTTTGTAGAAATAAAACCCTGTATACGAAAATTTGCTTGGTTTTAGGTAGTGACGACGAAGAAGAGGCAGAGGATGGAATTAGTGATGGTCAAAACACTGAGGCTGGAGAAGAAGCAGAGGAGGAAGCTGAAGTCGAGGAAGAAGATGAAGAGGTCGAAGAAATACAAAAGGTTGAAGCTAAAAAACGTTTCCAATCTAATAATAACTATAATCGTTCCAAAACGTCTCATCATTCTGATGACGAAAGTGACTTAAGTGACCTGAGTGATTAATTATCATTCAGACCGGATATCGTGTATGCTTGTTTCTTGTATTGTATTAGTTTGTTTTCCTACTAATTTGCAAAATTACTTCGATAATGTGTAAATATATCTAATTCCTTGGTTGTTCTATTATATCATACAGTTTGCATTGTTGTTTATTTGCAATCTTTTGGTAATTTTCTATATCACTACAGTATATAATTCTGAAAAAAAATTCATACTAAGTAACCAGTTAAATTTCACATAAAAGATAGTTATAGTTCTCGTGAATTTTCTATTTTTATTCGCAATATAAACATTTTACAGCTACTTATGTTGAAAATGGTAACTTAAGGTAGACCCTTTTAATGTGTTTAGTCATTTTTATTAAATATTATAACGAAAAATCCGACTAACTACTATGTACTTTGTAAGTTAATACTTCGAACTCCCACTGTAAGTGACCCTGTTCAACTTAATATACATATTTTTAGGCCAATTCTCGATATTCACTTAGGTTTCTTCCTATTCAAGATGTTCAGAAGCCAAATAAGAGAATATATTATGGTTGATTTATTATAAAGGTATTAACTCAGGTCAAACGTGTATCAGCCAAACCAACACAAGCTAAGACGAAGGTGTGCATAAACAATATTATTAAGACGCCACATGTATTCGGAATTCGACAACGCCTTTACACGTGACACCTTTATAATCGAAGTATAACAACGCAGTCAAATTAGAAGTCAGAGATGAAGAGGTTTGAAGTTATATTTGAAAGGGGGTCGATATCTCGTGAAGCGTTTGATCTGAGCTGGTTAAAGGAGATGAATTAACACAGCGTACCCACTCGTGGTCTGGTGTAGTTGCGTGACTGAGCGCCCTTAGAGTATATCTAGTCGGGGTCATTGTTGAAGACATACGGAACAACTTATTTTAGCAATTTATTTACCGCTACACGTGAATTTATATAACGGTTCCAGTGAATAAATACAATTTTATCCCCGAATTTGGAGTAACAGTTTTTGGTTTGTGCCTTCATCTAGTAATCTTACGTCTGCCAAGGTTGATAAAATCGCCTAGACTAATAAGCCGTAGCTATATACCAGTCATCTGCTAAGTTCATGTTTTAAATCAGTGAGTGCATTTTACATTGATTTTAGAGGAAAGCTGAGTTAATGAAAAATCAGAGTCATTCGAAAACATTCATATCAATGATACTATTAGAAAGAGCTTGAAATGTTTCAAATATTTGCAGCCCTATCAGTGTTACACTTGGTTATGATAACCTAGGTGCCAAAGTGACATAAAGATGTATTTCTAGACAAAGATAACCAATTTCATTAAGTTCCCAAACTACATATGAATACTCTCACGATCATAACCGGTATGTTTCGGATTCAAGTCAAGGGCCTTACCACATCATATAAGAGCTGAGGATTCATATACTTTAAGAATTTATTTCACTATAAGCCTAGAAGCCAAATATGCTTATATAGACCCCGTGATGTACTAATATTATATATCAGATATCCAGAAGGGATACTAACATTCCTGTTTTAAATTTGAAACCATTGTGTATCAATGTGAAGCATTACCAGCAACGTTATCATTATTCAGAACTAGGAATACCGAAATCCAAAATGTTTTGGGTTCACTCCTATCGCCACAAACAACGAAAGCATTTACATTTTATAAGCCACTTCAGAAGACGTATTCCATATTACAAAATGGCACACAGGTGCATCAGGAGGAAATATAAGTCATTCAAGAAAGTTCGTCAAGTGTGAAGTTTCTAAATCTGGAAACTGGTTTCGTGGAAATAAGAATTGTAATGCCAATGCAATGTAAGTGAGAAAACGGAGTATTTTTACTGATGGAGGAAGACATTTAAACGTAGTAATATCTGCAAAAGTGATCATTTTGTGCAATATTACGCTCTCAGCTGGAATTACCGGCAAAATATACCTTTCGTTTTGTCGACTGTGTTTGGTCTGCTGGTTTATTCGTAACTAATATAGTAAGTATTGAACTGGCCTGGGAATTATTAGTTAGAATATCGATTTCATTTTTGATACTTCTTATCATAAGTGTCCATTTATGTGTGTGAAAGAATTCAACAAGTGAAAGATCTATTACTCGTTTTATTGCATAATTTACAGAATATTCGTGGAACTACCTATTTTTTAAAGAACAGTTTTACGGGATACACGAATGGATTCAAGATAAAAATTGACTATCACTTTGGAAACAAGCGTCATCTTAACCTACTAGTAAGGTGATGATGTCACAGGTATTCAGTGTTTGACAACGCTTCTACCAGTAACACCTTCTAATATATTTCGTTCCCGCCCAGAGAAATCAAAAGACAGAGTCGAGGAGATTGGAAGAGTATATTTGGCGATGACCAATACATCTGAATTCTCTGATCTAATCTGGCTAGCGATTGCGGTTGATGTTGAGCACGGCGTTACCACACGTGATCTGGTGCAGATGCCTGACCGAGCGCCTTCAGCTAGATGAGTCCGCTAAAACATATGGTCAGCATCCAATGTCGAAAACGTAGTGCTATTTATTTTGGGGATTTATTTACCGCTACAAAGGTTTAATGATATCTGGGTTCGTCACCAATAAATGGTGGTTAGGGAGCTGTTAGGTCCCGATAAGCATAATGATTGGTAGCTTTTGGGATCCATTTATGGGCCAATACTAAACGTATATTTTTATCGTATAATTGTTAAATAACTAAACTATGCATATTGATATTCATCTCATTATAAGCTTTATTTTGACCCATGAACCATTATTATATGTTTTACCATTGTTGAATTATGCCCTGTCCATTAGTCACTGCCTCCCACACCCACAGCCACATTTGACCAAATTTTGTACAAATGTTATTTTATATTTTATGGTACATTGTGGTCTGTTTGGTTGGTAATATAAACCGAGTATGTTTGAAATACGTGATTCATATTGCAGAGGCTGAGATTGATGTTCTGGGTTCAACTGGCTGAGCTAGGCGGAAAGTGGGGCCAATCAGGGCTATAGGCTGCTCGCACGTGTTTTACGCGTCCTTGGTCCGATCGATAATTCACTGCTCTCTGATTGGTTGTATTATTACATATCCATCAACGGTGCGCTCAGGCCACAAGTTATAACAGGAGCTTATTCAGTAATCCTTATCCCACTAGGTGAATTCCAGATGATTATAAAACACAACAGATAACATAAATTGGAAAAAAATCAAGAATTGCGACTTCATGGACGGTACAGTATAATTGTTTCTGACTTGTTGGTAAGGTACTGTCTATTTATACATGTGGGCCATATCTCTTTAAAAATCCTTAATTCTCGTATGATTTTATTTCAGAATATACTATCACTAAAATTATAAACAGACACACTAGTCGATTTCCCGAATAAATTCTCTAGTGTCTTCACTTGCATCAATTTGTAGTGACTTGCTTTTATCAAGAAAACGCGATTAGTTTAATGGAAGCAATTAATATTAGAACCAATTGTACCAGTGATTGTTTTACTGCACTTGTTTGTTTAACTGTACTAAAGACATTCATTCTTCAGTTGATTGTGACCTTGCACGCGCTTATGTTTGCTCAGTGATCCCACTTGTACTCCTTTGGCATGATCTCGGTATTTTGATATCACGAGATCGCCAACAAATATATCTCGCTACAACCTCCAATCGCCTTCTGATGTCGGGTACGCAACCTTTTTACAGTGGTGATTATAGTCAACGCCACACTACAAATGCTCAGTACATAAACACAGCCGCTTTCCACACCATTTACAACGAAGAAAGCCAGATTTCAGACCCTTTTCCTTTTAAGACAGCTTGACAAGTCATGGATGAAGTTTGACTTAATGTAGCTAGTTCTTTCGGGCATAAAGATCGCAAAGAGTTAATTACGGCTCCGAATAGAAATAAGGAATGCGTAAAGTAGAAGGTAATTACATCTATAAGGCACATTTTCTGAGTGGTTTAGACTTTCTCACGGTTAGCGTTCGAACTATGAGCAACCTACCGAACAACAGATTTTAGTCAAACACTATTTTCAACATTATTTCACAGATTGAAATCATGAGTCAGTTGAAGCTAGACCACCATTGAAAACCTGGAAGCACTGGACGGCCGTTTCGTTCTAGTATGGGACTCCTCAGCAGTGCGCATCCACGATCCCGCACCACGCGGGGCTCGAACCCAGGGCCTACTGGCTTCGCGCGCGAGCACTTAACAATTAGACCACTGAGCCGGCATCCAACGGTGTTAATGTCTAACTTCAACCAATCCACGAAGTTGCGCCACCGTACACCATTGTCTTCAGTGAGTTCCTATCTCACAACAGACCTGGTTGAACTCCACTGGTAACGGCTTCTCACTAGAACTTCGGGAGTTTTTCCTGAAGTCAGTCACTAGTGAGCAGTTGATTATTATTATCAGAATGGGTTTTGTGGAGATTTTAGAAATTTCACAGATTGAAATCATGAGTCAGTTGAAGCTAGACCACCATTGAAAACCTGGAAGCACTGGACGGCCGTTTCGTCCTAGTATGGGACTCCTCAGCAGTGCGCATCCATTATTACTAATTGTTCCGCCGGTCATTTTAATATCCTGATAGAACTTTTTACGCATACAGAAATTTTACAAATTGTAGCTCCTTTATCATAATTCAGTAATGGTGAATAAATTTACCGAAATGTAATTACACCAGAATCCTACTTTTACAGGTTCCTGTTCAACAAAGTTGATACTTGTATATCTAACGATCTGTTGGAGATGAAGAACAAGTAGTGAAGCGATTATAGTAAGGATGAAAGATACGTTCAATGTGAAATAAATATAAGAAAATGCTTCAATTTCAAAATAATTACTAATCAGAGTTTAAGCCGTTTAATTTAGGTCATGTAATTGTAGGTGACAGACGTGGATGATCCGTTGGGGCCCCACTCGAGTTAGACGAGACTGATGTGAGGTTACACCTTATGGTCCGTACTTAATGTAGATTGCACTTTCGTCGTATCTAGGTAATTTGGCTGCCTTGATAACCGAAAAACGCAAAAGACATCGTTACATGGCAAGCAATCGACTGATGCGCGTCAATTGTAAGTGACATTGATAAGGATCAGTGAGCTGGTCGGTATTCGGTGATTCGACTGGTGGATGGTTTGGCTAGAGCTGTAGTGGCATTGGTCCCTAACACGAGACATTATCGGAAATGGACATTCATCGTTTAACACGGAAAAACACCCAACGATGATGAAGGTGGGATTGAATTAATTAACACACCTACGGGAATTGAAATACGGAATGACCGCCTCTAGTCAGGCCGTTCAAGGTCGTTGAAGCGAAACAGCCGACAGCTTTGAAGAGGATCACGGTTTTTACCTTGCCGAGTTG